GGATGGACACGAAGCCGTCCGTCTCGCCCGTCTTTTGCGGGAAGTCGGTGAAGGTGAATGCAAACTTGATGACGTCAGCCAAGTACGACAGCTCCGTCTTGGACCGCTTCTCTTTGGCCGTGTCCGACGTGATGTAAAGCAGATTCGGCTCGACGGTTCGGGTTTTCGGCGGGATTCGACGCGGCTGGTCTTCATTCGGTGCTTTTGTCTTCGGGTCGAACGTCACTTTCCGGCTCCGCTGGGCTCTTTCTTCCTCCTCTTCTCGAGTCTGCAATCAAAATCGAAAAAAAAACCAAGTCTCGCTCAAATCTCGGGAATCGGCATAAGGAATCTGCACAGTGATCAGTTTGCAGTGAAACCCATTCAACTGTGATGCGAAAAATATCGTCGGACAATCACGGGCAGGTGAAGCATGAATGCAGAATCGAAAAATTATACGCGAAGAACGAAACTTCTCACAGATGAAGAAAAAAAAACTTGCGTAAACCTAGTACTGTGCATCCGCCAATTTTTAAACGATTCCTACAAAAGCACTTCGCGTCAGGGATTCGCTTTCGACTCGAGAAAAAAAAAATAGTATCACGGGTGGTAAAAACATTTTATTCCAAATAATTGATACATCACCGACGCTGAAAATCTTTCTACAACGAGGGATAAATTCAAGGCATGATACGAACTAATAGCAGAAAAACCGACGCTTCAAAACTTGAATTGGACTCAGAATCAGCAATTTTTCGTATATCCTCTGTGCTACAGCGGTCAATATATTCCTCGCCAGAATAATATCCCTCATAGGGAATTAAACAGCTTTTACATGACGTCTCGTAACAATATTCCCAAGACACAAGTAAAAAAATAAAAAATAAATATGCACAACTTCTGGCCGGCAATAGTTCCCAGAATATTTTTAAACGAATGAATGTGTTCGAGATTCACCACGAATCTTCCCTTTCGTTTAGCCTAAAATCAATGAAGTAAATACGGCAGAAATTCAGCATGCATCGTCACTTTCGACATCAATCACCTTTTTGATGGCCGGCTTGTCTGGTTGCGGCGTCGGTTTCACGTATCCCATAGCAATCAGTAGCGCTTCAGCAGCGGCGCGTTTCGCCATTTTCTTATTGTTGCCCACTCCTTTGCACGTGTGCTCACCGCAAGTGACTTGCATCGTGAATTCCCGCTTCCTCGGCATTCCTTTCTCGTAAAGAAACGTGTACACGGGCTCCTTTTCCTTCTTCGATTGCTGAATTTGAATCAGGCGAGATATTGGGTTGATGCCGTCACCGTACTCAACATTCGCCGCTTGCACCTGCGTGGCACATAAAACAAAAATGAATAAAAAATTACATGCAATTTTCCAATATTCAAAAACTCGGGAATTCAGGATGATACTGAAGACGGAAGTCGAGAATGAAAAACGTTCAAAATCATTAATACGTTTCAAGTCAGAAAATCTAACACCTTGCCAGTAATTTATGTCGAAATGAGTATTCAATTACTGTACTGAACCATTTCAATTACGACTGAAGAGGATCTTTCTTCAAAGCAAGTTTTTTCGCTCTCAAAAAGCCGTAATCGTCATTTAGATATACTAAATAGAAAGGAAAAACCCTGAAGATACAACTGTGCACTAGGGAAAACAATTTTCACCTTGATGATGTTTAGCTTCTTCTTCTTGGCGGGCTTCGGTTTGCCTTGCTGCTTAGCCTTCAACGCAACACCTTGCCAGTAATTTATGTCGAAATGAGTATTCAATTACTGTACTGAACCATTTCAATTACGACTGAAGAGGATCTTTCTTCAAAGCAAGTTTTTTCGCTCTCAAAAAGCCGTAATCGTCATTTAAAAGTTTTGCTGTACATGAGTAAATTACAAACAAGCAAAAACTAAATAGAAAGGAAAAACCCTGAAGATACAACTGTGCACTAGGGAAAACAATTTTCACCTTGATGATGTTTAGCTTCTTCTTCTTGGCGGGCTTCGGTTTGCCTTGCTGCTTAGCCTTCAACGCA